CACTCTTAGCTATTTACCAAAGAGAGATGAAAAGTTTTGTTCACACAAAAATCTGTACATGAATGTTCAGAGTGGTTTTATTCAAAATCACCAAAAATTAAAAACAAGGCAAATAAACAGCCCCCAACTGGGAAAGGGATAAATATACTATAGTACATCTATACAATGGAATACTACTCTGTAATGAAAAGGAACAACTACTGATACACACAATAGGATGGGTAAAATATCAAATGTATTATGCTAAATGAAGGAAGTTAGATTCAAAGGCTACATTGAAGGTATAATTCCATTTATATGGTATTCTGCAAAAGGCTAAATTACAAGGAGAGAAACCCCGTGGCTAGGTTAGGGGTGGGGTAAGGGTTGGCTACAAAGAAGCCTAGGATAATTATGAGGGACTATAGAACTGTTCAACACCTTGCGTGGGTGCTGGTTACATGACTTAATTTGCTCAGGACTGTAGGCTAAAAAAGGTAAATTTTACTGTATCTTAATAATATCTTAATAAAAATTGTATCTTAATTTTTTTAAAGTATATCTTAATTTTCATTAAAAAAATAATTTTTATGAAAAAATTCATGACACACCTCTACTCAAAACCATTGTGATGTCATACGCAGAATACAACACAAAGTTATTACAACAGCTCTTAGGGCTCTACATCATCTGTCCCCTTGTTGATTCTAATGTATTCTGCTGCTTCTCTTCCTTTCCTTCCATCTGCTCCAACCACACTGCCACTTTACTTTCCTGAAATTCTCAAGCATGTCCCCTCCTCTGGGCTTCTGGCTGCCTCTTCCTTTTTTCCTTCTCCCCGGTTTCCACGTGACTTGCTCATTTGCGTCCATTCTGATTCATTGTCACCTGTGAGGTTGGGTCTTCTTCATAACCCCACTGCATCCTGGTACTCCTTTCTTTTTCTCCATGTTACTTTTCACTATTAAACATATGATGTATTCAACTTAGTTTATTTTGTAAAGAGAGGGCAGGGATTCTTATAGGTTCTGTTTACAGCTATATCACATGTATCTAGAACAGAGCTTGACATATAGTAATACTCACTAAATATTTGTTGAATAAATGACCTGAGCTATTATTCTGAAAAATCTGTTATTTAAGCAATGGTCTTTGTTCAATACCTCTTGCATACTTTTTGTAATACATTAATATCAATTTCACCATAATTCATGATATGGACGTTTTATTTTGCTTTTACTTTTATGAGAAAGACCCAAATAATGAGGTAAAAAATTATTAAGGATATATTCCAAGAAAATAAATATCAGCATTCCCCTAGAATGAATTCAAATTCTGCTGGATCCTTTAAATCACTCAGTACAAAATGTAACAATGAGCATTATATATTTCCACCCTGCAAAGTCATCATCCTTACCTCCTTCCTCCCAAACTTTGACCCTTTCACACTCACATCTCTCTCTCCTTTTTGTCAAAAAGCTTTGTGCACACTTAATTTATGATACCAAATTTTATTTGTTTACATATCTGTCTCAATCCTAGAGAATAAACTACTCAATGTGAGGAATCTTAAGGTTAACAATTGTTAAATTGTATGTTCTAACTACCTAGCCTGGCACCAGACACAAAGAAGTTTAATAAATGTTCACTGAGTTGAATGTAAATGAGCTAGTGTTTGAAGCCATAAATTTGAAAAAGGCGTCAAAACTGTGAATAATCAAACTATTCAGGTGCACAGAAATGAGTGTACTTTCAAAAGATTTTCATTGACTATCCGGAGCCACACAAATGTTCTGGTTAAGTAACCCAGATATCATTCCTAGAGTTTTCTGATCACTCAACATTTTATCAGGCTTAATCTTAGATATGAATTTCTTCTTCTAAAATGAGAATGGGAAGACACTGCATAGGATCTTGGCTGAAGAGAAGTAGAATAAAAAAGTTAACAATACAAAAGTAAGTTACAGAGGTGTCTTTTCATGGAACTCTAGGTTAAGAGCCTTCCAAATCATTTTATACTTGGGAAGGCTTTGAGCTTTCAGTTTCTGCTTTAACAGAGGTAGGCTTCGATAAGAAGGTACATGTCTTCACTATTAAAAGAAAGGATGAAAGAGAAGGGTAAGGCAGAAAAGACATTTCAATCCCCACTGCCTCCATTGTGGTTAAATCCCTTATAATAGCTTCCTGTTGGTTTTTCCTTCTCTTTCCACTCTCCCCACCAGCCTATTTAAGCTGTTGCCAAATTGTGATCATGCTACTCAATACCCAAAAACCATGAAAACAAATCCCTATTTCCTGAAGGACTCAATGCAACTTCTTTCAAAACAGAACTTTTTAATGGCATAGCCTCAATGCATATTTTCAGTACTATTTTCTTTCCACTAGGCTTCTATGAGTACATAACACAGGACCCAAGCTGGACCATACATTTATCCTCAGTGCTCCACATGATTCTTTTCTCTGGTCCTTCCATTAGCTTGCTCCTCCTGGAGGGTCCACTGCCTACACTACCTTCCTCAACTCATCAACTCCTTGTGACGTCCTACCCATTCCATCATCCCATAAACCCTTTCACGATCTCCAATCTGATCTGCTCTCTTTCTTCTCTGAGCTACAGATTCCAGTTCATATTATACATTACATATTT